TTCCTTAGCATGAAGCCGACTAGGAGCATTGCTACTCCCCCTGGATGGTATGCTAGTCCTCATCGCAGATTACCCCCCAGCATTTCGTCAAGTTTCCTAACAGTTCGCCAGTACCGTGAGAGTTAAGTGTCTTACCCAAGAACACAGTGATGACGACTAATATTTTGAAGCATCTTAAAAATAAAAGTAATGGCGGTGATGGGAGCTTAAGCACAGATACGTTTTTTTGAGCCACGAACGGCGACCGAAAGTCCAATGTTCTTTTCTTTGGCACGAGTTATCGCGGACTTTTCGTCCATAATGTCAAGTTATAAATGCTTAAAAGAGAGCTTTCCGACTCATTGGTGGGTTGAAGGTGCAACCACAAACAATAACATTCGCTGCCCAAGGAATGTTAGGGGATCAAATAAAATATTTTCCGATCTTAGTTTAAATTATTTGCTATGTTTCCATTGCGTAATTCGTACCTTATTCATCAAGAAACGCTCCAGTAAACCCAGTTCCTCAGTCCCCCGAATCAACTTTCTTGCCGCTATTTTTCCACTGCACGGGGCCTGGGGTGAGGGCAAAGCCTGACGATCTTGGTTTTGTTCAGAGCCTTGGCCAGGTCTGTAATAAACAACGTAACATTAGAACATTCGCGTTACAACATTCATCCTCCTTCAATTGTGCATTTTCGCGCATTTTAGGGTCATGTGTTTCGTGGTTTTCCAGCGTCAAATAAGATATTCAAGAACACAAACAGAATACAAGAAATTTGTCAGGATCGTCGCTAAACACCATATTTTGTCCATAAAAGAGGATGCACTCATTGGCTTTCCATATCATATCTAATCACATTTCGACAAAACTGTAATCATATTCACCGTGCGGGACGTTTGGTCAGACTTGAACCTAGTTATAAATGGCCTAAGCTCCCACGAGTCTCCTGTAGCTCAGTGGTAGAGCGTCCAACCGTGTGTGCGGAGATGTCATAGGTTCGACTCTCTGTTTGGGAAACGGTAATTTCTTGACTTGAGGGATAAATGAAGGGAAATTCAGGGTCAATACGATAACTTAGGGTAAAATTAGTTCGCCAGTAATGTTAAAAAATAATCAATCTTAACGCTTCATGAGAGCCCAGCTCCATCCGTTGTAGCCCGCCGATGGTATCCCTTCCGTGATAGTAGGTGGTATATTTTTATTGTTGGATCCGTATCGGACCGTTCAATTCCGTATTTACCGTTTCCTCCGTTTTCCGTTTTCCGTTTGTGTTTTTAGGATTTATCCGCTGTCTCCGGTGCCGTATTTTTTTGGTGCCGTATGCCGTTTCCGGTCTATTGATCCGCGTTCCAACTCTCATTAGCCTTCTTTACAACATTTTTGTTCAAATTAGAATCTGATTTTTCTTTCTGAATCGAAGTTGTTTCAGCCCGATTTTACGAAGGAAACCTTTCTTGACTTTGCCACTGTGCCTCGGTGTGGCGACCCTAGAACTTGCGGTGTAATTCGACTTTTCCCTCAGCGCCTCATGACAACCGAAGTCGTCCTTGAAATCTAACGGAGGGGACGCTGGGTCGTCGGTCATCCAAAACGTCCCGAAGCGCTAATACCGCTGTCCAGGTCTTCGCTTTGGTGGACAGGCGCCTTCGTATGCTGCTCGTAAGCTTTCGTGAGAAAATGTCGTCGTTTTGTTTGGTTTCAGTTTCGTCGCTCAGTTCGTCTGCTTCGCCGTTGGAGAGAAGTGGTCGGAGAGGGAGGAATGGGGCTTAGTTGTAGAGAAGGCGGTCCTCAGAGATTTGTTTGTGTGGCGGTGAAAATTGATCCGAGCGGAGGAGGGGCGAGGGCTCCGTTTGGGTTCAGGACTGCTTGGTTCCCGAGGATGACCTCTGGTACGGACACCCGACAGCTAAGAGTGAACCGAGAAAGTGTGATAACGATTGCAAAATAAGTCCGTTCTACCAAGCTTAGGTGGCTTTGATATCAGGCCGTTGCTCATTCTCGTTCCCAGATCCTCTGGTTTCTTTTGGTCACGGTGGTTGGCGAAACGGAGGCTCTGGTCTCAGCCTTTACCGGGATGTCCGGACATTCATTAAGTCGGGTGTTGCGCATTCATTTTTTTATCAGCCAATTGAAAAAACGAATTTTTTTTGAAAGGTTCATTGGCTGATAAAAAATGAATGCGCAACACGAATTTTTCTGAAAATTTTTGTCGCG